CGGCTCGTATGAACACGGCCTAAGATGAGGTACTGTCAACCACATGAGCAGAAGATACTAACAACAGATGGCAACTTCCAAGAGACAAAAGTTCTGTACTAGAACTGAGGGTCCTTCTAAGACCATCTTGTCACCATGGGGATTCCAAGAATCAAAACTCTTCCCTGTGTCTCTAGCACAATGTGGAAAGCTCAGGCCACAAGTGGGAGCTCACACCGAGACTCCTCCTCCTGTCATCACCCCCCCCATGTCTGAAAGGGGGAATACCACAAGGTCCTCCTACATGGGGCACAGTAGGAGCCAAAGTACAAGCTCCACCTACATGGACTGTGGGAGGAGCCAAAACAAAGCTTCTCTTACAGGGCTTGGGACTTCCCGGCTTCTGGAGTTCTGGCCCCACTGGTGGCCCTGACCCAGTTTGGTGTAGTGGTTAGGAGTGCGGACTCTAATCTGGGAGAACCGGGTTTGATTCCCCACTCTTCCACATGCAGCTGCTGGTGTGACCTTGGGTCAGTCACAAGTTCTCTCAGAGCTGTTCTCTCACGAGCAGTTCTCCAAAGTGCTCTCTCAGCCCCACCTACCTCATAGGCAATGTTCTCTCTAAGCTGAGTTAGTGTGAGCTAGCTCACTGTTTTTTAGCCTCTGGTTCACATATTTTTGTCTTAGTTCAGGAAGGATGGCTCCAGAGCAAACTAATCTATGTAGTAGCCAAATTACTTGCTCACAACTTTAATGCCAGTAGCTCACAAAGTAGAATTTTTGCTCACAAGACTCCACAGCTTATAGGGAGCATTGCTCACAGGGTGTATGTTGTGGGAAGTGGAAGGGAAAGGAGATTGTAAGCCGCTCTGAGACTCCTTCGGGTACTGATATCCAATCTCTTCTTATTGTTCTTCTGATGGCACCTTGGTTTTGGCCACTGGGTGACACAGAGTGTTTGGACTAGATGGGCGATTGGCCAGCTCCAACACAGCTTCTCTCATGTCCTTCTGCTCACGTCACTATGAGAGACAAACAAGCTGTACGGCACTACTTTCTACACCTTTAAAAGGGGTGTGTGTGTGTGGGGGGCTTCACCGTCCCTATTGTACAAGAGATATAGAATTCCACTGACTGAAATGCAATGCTTTTGGGGAAAAGATGCAACACTATTCCTGTATAGAACTGCATATGTGCAATGTATGCAAGACAGAAGGGAAGGAAAACAAACATTTCTTGGGAACTGTGATACAGTTTAAGGTCCCATGAAGGCAACCCCTTGTATAACTGCAACGGCTGGGGTTTGACTTCCCCAGGTTTTGAGACGTGATACCCTTTTCAGATTGGTTGACTGATACCCTTTCAGGCTGCCGCTTAAGAGGGGGTGAACCAAACCCAATACATCTGCACACATCTTACGAGTTGACGCTACCTGAAAAGAAGACCGTTTTCTCTTCCTGAGGGGCCTCGTAAACGGCATCGATTTTTTCCGGCACTTCGGCCCAGAACGTTGCGACCAGCAAAGGCCCGGTGGGTCGGCCCCGTTGGTTCGCAGTCCTCCAGATGAATCTAGGCAGAAGGATCACAGAAGGGCTTACAAAGGGCTGATTCATCGGCACATCTGTTTCTTGTTACGGCCGGCGAAAGCGCATGCGTGCATCGGATGCGCACACACGTACACACACATTAAAACCCAACAGCGACACAAACATACAATTACCTGGGTATGTAGCTGAAAGGGGAGGAAAAAGCCTCAAAATTCGAGCACTGCTTCTCTCCAACAGATATAGTCATGTACCATGTGCAGCGTTAACTGTTTGTAACGATTGTTCCAGCGCTCACATTAATTCTCAGGGTAGTGCCCCCCCAAAAATTGCATTCGGTGCTTCAATTATCCCAGCAAATAAACCCCATTTACAAGGCACTTAACTCCTTTCAGCCATCCCCCCATTGCTGCACGTTGAACAGATGGATACGTATTTGGCAATCGGTGGCGTTTGTATGGTGCCCATTACTCTGGACAATTATGATTATAGCGACTCGAAAGATCAGATCTAATGACCATCTATCAAGCAGCTTGGCTGTAAATGAAACGCAGAGCATTCAAACCATTCATCAGAGGAATAAAACAGGGGTCGTTTACTAGCTGTTTCCTGCATGGGCCGTCTTTATGAGCGTTTAAAAAAACACACAATAAAATGCCACAGTTTGATTTCTGTGGTGGTACTCAAGGGGAGGAGGCACCAGATATTCACAAAGGTGCCACTGTGGATCAGGATGTCGTTTCTCCCTTTTCTGAAGCACCCTTTGATGAACGGGCCGTTTTGTACGGTGCACAAAGAGACGCACACCGGCTGAGTGGTTTCACAAGCAACTAGTGGCCAGGATCCCTGGTGATAAGACGAGGCTGCCATTTGGAAGATGTCAAGCAAATTGGCTACTTCCATTGATGTTTTTTAACTAGCGCGGTCCCCTTTTCGGCTCAATGAAATGGCAACTGGATCTCAGACGGAGTGGGGAAACAACAACGGCAGCAAAAGAACTCTGTCGCCCCTAACAGGAACACGACCCCCGTAGGAGTTTTTAACACATTATGCGCAAAGCATGGCTTTGTGGACAAATGTTGCTGCGTCTGTCACCTCCAACGCCAGTATGGAATGTGGGTTAACAGAATCACAAACACATGGGCAAAAGAAATCGTGTGGGTCTTCCCCACTGAACTGATGGAAAGAGGCTTAAAGCCACACAGCAGGCCTAGGGTTGCCAAGTTGTTTCTTTGCCACAGCGGGGGACTCCAGGGCGGCGACTGGAGCGCGTGTGCGCAAAGCGCGCACCGCACACACGTCACCAGGAAGTGACGTTAGGACGCCGGGCACGATGGGGGCGGGGCCACGACCATCGGAGGGAAAACCATAGAGTCTAATCCCTTTTTAACCATAGAGTCTAACCTGTCTCATCCCTTTTTAAAAGTTTCCATAGTCTGGAGATCAAGTTATAATTCTGGGAGATTCCCCAGTCCCCACCTGGTAATTGTAAACCTATAGATCAGGATCTAAGGAACTGCACCACTAGTTGCATACTTCCTAGCAAGCTTTCTACCCAGACTTTTTGAATAGCAGGTGCCTATGCCCTGCAACCAAACGCAGAAGGTACGCTGCATGGTGAATGGTAAATTCTGAAAAGAATAAAAGGGCAAGAAACCCCATGTCAACACGCACACGAAATATTCCACTAAATTGCAGCCATCCCAGTAATTTTTCTGTAGCATTTTCTCTAACTGCATAAAAGGTCACACACACACACATTGTTGCCTCAGTCTTTATAGCAGTTCTCAGGGGTCATTCCCTGCAGGAGCGCACAGGAGCGGAGCTCCGGCAGTAAAGAGCCCAGGGGGCAGGCACATGCAACAAGCCCCACCCCCTGCTCCCAGCAGCCCTCAGTCAGAGCAAGAAGCAGGCAGGTAAGCTGCAGAGCCCCCCCCCCTGACCCAAAACAGTCCAGTGGCACCTTTAAGACCAAGTTTTGTTCAGGTACAAGCTCTCCCTCATCTGCGAGGACAGATCTGCACTCCCCCCCCAATAGCTAGCAATCCAAAAGAGTCCAGTGGAGCCTGAGCACTGGGTGTTGCCTTCTGACCCACTTCCAGTGATGTCAAGGGGTGTGGCATATGCAAATGTCAAGGGGTGTGGCATATGCAAATGAGTTATGCGAATTAGTTATGCTAATGAGCTCCTGCACCTCTTTTTCTATGAAATGACCCCTGGCAGGTCTGCCAGGTAGTCTAATACCATGCTCATATTACAAACGATAGGCTGCTAAGAGATCGTAGCTTGGCTGACTTTGACTTTGCAGCAGACCTTGAACTGCAGACTCTGTGGCTCATAGGTCATGTGCCCATGCTATGGTGTTTTGTTTTTTTTTAATAGTCTCCAGAAATCTTTATAGGACTGATGAGTTGACTAGAAATTGATGCTGTTGGGGCTATCTCTACCAGAATTTATAATATGTTCACTAATGATAATATCCTGATAACAGCGTTCCATTTACGAAAGACCTCCCCCACCTCCAATGATAGGGGTCTACCATAAACCGATAGCAAAGTCGGGACAAACTACATTTGACATGGGGGACTGGATTCTCAAAGATGCATTTTAGCAACATAAAGAAGTCCCAGGACTATGGATTGGGGCCTTGATGCTCGGGAAGGGGATGGCTACAACATGTTTGCCACTGCAACATTCTTCTGGTCTTCCCCCAGGATGGAAAAAGACCTGTGCTTGTCTTTTTCCCAACAATGCCTGTCTTTATTGTGCCTGTCTTTTTTTTTTAACCTATCACTGGTTAAAGCAGTCTAGATGGGATATTTTTAATTGGGGAAATGGTGCGAATTGGTGAAATGGCGCAGAGGAGACCAAGGAGTCAACCAAGCCACACCCTTCCTCAGTTTTTGTGACCTTGATCTCTTTTTACGTTTCCCGTGGCTGCGGTACACTGCTGAAATACACATCTGGCCATCTAATTATGGATTTCTAATGTTACATGTGGTGGCTTGGTTCTTAGAACAAAACCATGTTGAAACAATCACCGGACGAGTTCGCAGTTCCTATCCATTTACTTTCTGCGCTAGAGTTAATGAGCTAGAAAGCAGCATTTCAGTCCTGCAGGGAAATTCAAGAGCTGCAGCTTCAATAAGGGAGAGACGTCTGGGCGTGCTGGCACCAGCAATGACTATTAAGTGGCTGGATATTTGGAAGTTTCCTCCTCTGAGTATGCCCGGATGGGTTGTTTCGTTTTGCTCAAAGCATACAAAGCTCTTATGTTTCGGCACATAATGAGGGCTGCTTCCAAAACAACTGGAACAGAGCTAGCCATTTTAAAATGTATGCAATTTCTAACCAACGGCAACAACACAATAACCACTGGCATATTCATCAGGGCTGAATTCTTATCACTGGGATCAGCAGCATGTTCAGTTAAGGCTGGGCTTCCTCTCCACTTCTTCAGGAAAAAAATAAATAAAGGGAAGACACACTTGCTCCTGGTAGAAAATGAAGCCGATCCCAAAAGAGGAACAAGACAAAACAAGAGGCAGAGCGGCATAGTGGTTAGAGCACTGGAATAGGATCTGGGAGTTCCAGGATGAAATCCCTCCCAACTACCATGGAAGCTTGCTGGGTGACCTTGGGTGGGTCATACTCTCAGCCTAGCCTACCTTACAGGGTTGTTGTGAGTATAAAATGGAAGAGAGGGGTATAAGAAGTGAAAGAGATCGGGTTTATACCCTGCCCTTCACTACCTGAAGGAGTCTCAGAGCAGCTTACCATCTCCTTTCCCTTCCCCTCCCCACAACAGACACTCTGTGAGGTAGGTGGGGCTGAGAGAGCTCTTTCATGGACTGCTCTGAAAGAACTGGTAACTGACCCAAGGTCACACCAGCAGCTGCATGTGGAGGAGTGGGGAATCAAACCCGGTTCTTCCAGATTAGAGTCTGCACTCCTAACCACTACACCAAACTGGCTCTCCCAGATTGGTCTCGTCTGGTCTAGCAAGACCGTTCTTCTGTACCAAACATCACCCGTTTCTCTTCTTACCGATCTTTGAAGAAAAATATTTCCCCTCTGATTTGGGCAATGGCATCAAAGACAATGTCCTTTGTGCACAGCTCAGGTGTGACTGGTCCAAGGGTCGGACTCGGGCCTGGTCCAACATCAGTAGAACCTCCTGCAAGTGAAAGAAAGGTTAAGAGTGGAACAGTGCCTTTGGGAAAGGAATTTTCAAGTGGAGGAGCCAATAAGAGAGAAAACCTGTATCATTTTCAGGCAGAGGGGAAATCAGTGATGATCAGAGACTTGGTATCCATGTAAGTTTAATTATAGGCTGTGGAATCTTGCTTTATGTGTTTTTATGTGCCTAGCTTGGTTCTATGGCTTGTTTTATTGTTGATAATTCTTACGTCATTGTTTTTTTAAATCATTTTTGTTGTTGTTCAGTCGCACAGTTGAGTCCGACTCTTTGCGACCCCATGGACCAGATCACGCCAGGCCTTCCTGTCTTCTGCCGTCCTCTGAAGTTGGCTCAACTTCATGTTCGTTGCATCGATGACACTGTCTAACCATCTCATCCTTTGCCGTCCCCGTCTTCTTTGACCTTCAGTCTTTCCCAGCATCAGGGTCTCCTCCAGTGAGGGCTCCCTTCTCATTGGGGGGCCAAAGTATTGGAGCTTCAGTTTCATGATCTGGCCTTCCAGGGAACAGTCAGGGTTGATTACTTTTAGGATTGACTGATTTGATCTTCTTGCGGACTTTTGTTGGCAGGGTGATGTCTCTACTTTTTATCATTGTTTTCTTTTCATTTTGTGAGCTCTCTCAAGCAGGTCTCTGAAGAGGCGGCATATAACTTTTCAAAATAATAATAATAATAATATAGAAATCCTGATTGCTTTGCAGTCTTTCTACAAGTGGAAAAGAACATTACTAGCCGTACCAAAAGGTGGGGGGATTACAACACATTTGAGGTTTAAAAAATGAGGCTATCAGCTTCTTTGCAGCAAAAATAAATGAATGAATAATTTAAAAAAATAACCATATGGGGCTATTTTGTCAACCCAACTACCTCCGTGTTTTCTCTGTCAGCAATACAAGGGTGTACGTGAGGGAAACCAAAGGTGTAGGTCACAGAATGACAAAAAATAATAAAAAAAATGTTGACTTTACCGTAAAGTTCCTGGATTCCCTGAACGTCATCCTGGGAGAGACGGAAATGCTTGGTGTAGGTGTAGATCGGTGCCATTAGGGCTCCAGGGTCTTCGGAATGTTCTAGCCCCATGGCATGGCCAAACTCATGAGCAGCCACCAGGAAAAGACTGTAGCCTGAAAGAAATCAAGTCAGTTCTGGGGTTATTCAAATGTCGCATTATCTATATGACTATTTGTGAAGAGAGGGTTATGAGATTGTTTACAGCACTGGCACAGTTGGCCATAAGGTATCAGGCTTCAAAATACTGGAATCAGGTCTCTCTCATCCGTGGCTAATAGATCCTAAGCAGGTCTTCTTGGAAGTAATTCTTATGTTATTCAGTGGAGCTTACTCCCAAGAAGGTGTTCTTAGGACCAGAGCCTAAGTTACTGACGAGTTAAGGAATGCGTATAAACATTCCAACTGCTCAGGGACTCAAAATGTTCAGAACAGAAAGTATAGGGTGTGTGGGTTTTTTTTACAAACAGGTTCATCAAAGAATAGACACTTCTAGCACAGTATTGGTCAACTGTTAGACTATATGCGTGAATTTTGTGTGTGCTTCTAGTAGGAGAACAGAGAATAGCCTGCTCGTGAGTATTGCTTATGTTTAGTGTGAATGGGTGTCTGAGGGAATTCTGAACAGGATGCTGAAATGGCCAGGCCAGTTTTCCAAGAGTTGTGGTCACCTATGGATCCAGAAAAGTCATGTGATTTATTTCTGTATGCAAAGCAGGTTTTCTACCACTAAACCAGTTTGGTGTAGTGGTTAAGTGCGCGGACTCTAACCTGGGAGAACCGGGTTTGATTCCCCACTCCTCCACTTGCACCTGGCTGGATGACCTTGGGCTAGCCATAGTTCTGATAAGAGCTGTTCTTGAAAAAGAGCAATTTCTGTCAAGAGCTCTCTCAGCCCCACCTACCTCACAGGGTGTCTGTTGTGGGGAGGGGAAGGGAAAGGAGTTTGTAAGCCGCTCTGAGATACCTTTGGGTAGTGAAGGGCGGGGTATAAATCCAATCTCTTCTTCTCTCTCTAAAAGTTATTATTACACTAAAACACCTGTGCAAATTTAAATAGATCTCAATGATTCCTGCCTCAGATGTTGGTGTAGTCTCATGAGGTGGGTTGTGGTTCTATACAAGTGCCATTTCAAGAGCACTCATCTTTGCTGTGCGTACGGGTTGCCAGCTCTTAGGAAATTTCTCGAGATAGGAAGGTTAGTCCTTCATTCTGTTGCACACTCCCTGACTCATTTGCAGCCTTCTCTACAGACTTTAATGTTCTACATCGTATTTCTGAGAAGGCAGGAAATGGCTGAGGGAGATGTTTTGGTTAACCCAGGACAAATGTAACCACATTCTGGATATCTGATATATTTTGCAAGCTTTCTGAAAATGGGGAAATACCTAGGGAGGCCTCATTTAGGGACATGTTTTCTTCCCCAAAGAACAGGGTGTGAAGGGGTGGGCCTGATGTATGGCTGCCAACTTCCAGGCGGTAGCTGGAGATCTTTTGGGATTATAACCAATACTCCCTCTAAACTCTGGAGTCCTGTGAGCAAAGATTCTACTCTGTGAGCTGCTGGCATTAAAGTTGTGAGCGAGCGATTTGGCTACTGCCTAAATTAGTTTGCTCTGGAGCCATCCTTCCTGAGGTAAGGCAAAAATGTGTGAGACGGAGGCTAAAAAACTGTGAGCTAGCTCACACTGACTCATCTTAGAGGGAACACTGATTACAACTAATCTCCAGGCGAAAGAGATCCGTTCAGCTGGAGAAAAGGGCCACTTTGGAAGGTGGACTCCGTGGCATTGTACCCCATGAGTGTCCCTCCCTTCCCTAAACCCCGGCCTCTTCAGGCTCCACCCCCAAAATCTCCAGATATTGCCCAACCTGGAGCTGGCAACCCTAGCTTGAAGAGGAGGTCTGGCCAAAACCCCTGGTTTGGGGTGCAACAGGGGAGGGGCTTGGTTCTTCACCTGCCTCCTCCTCCTCCCCTCCAGCAAGGAGAGAATGTTTCCTTCCCTCTGCCCTGCAGGGACAAAGGCTGGGGGGGGGGGGGCACCAGGGTGTAGTCTTGCCTCACTGTTCCTTCTCCACCCTATGGGTTTCTCTCTTTACCCTCCTTGTCTTCTCTCTGAGCAGCCTCCAGTCTAGAAGGAGGAGGAGCCTGAACAACATAGACTCAAAGAATGTTAGAGTTGGAAGGGGTCTTAGAGGTCATCTAGTCCAACTCTGCAGGAGCGTAGCCGAAAGAGAGCCCTACAACATACCCGAAAGAGGGTCGTCCAGCCTCTGCTTGAAAACGTCCAGTGAAGGAGCATGCACCACCTCCCGAGGCAGACTGTTCCACTGCTCAACCACTCTTACAGTTAGGAAGCTTCTCCTGATATTTAGCCAGTAATGACTCCCTTGTAATTTCCACCCATTAGATCTAGTCTTGCAGTCCGGAGCAAGAGAGAATAGATCTGCTCCATCTTCTGCATGACAGCCCTTCAGATACTTGAAGACTGCAATCATGTCCCCTCTAAGCCTTCTCTTTCCCAGGCTAAACATACCCAACTCTTTCAGCCTCTCCTCGTAAGACTTGGATTCCAACCCTCTCACCATCCTGGTTGCCCTCTTCTGGACACGCTCGAGCTTGTCAACATCCTTCCTAAAATGTGGTGCCCAAAACTGGACACAGGACTCCAGGTGAGGCCTGACCATAGCAGAATAGAGCGGAACGACCACCTCCCTTGATCTGGACACAATGCTTCTGTTTATGCATCCTAATATTGCATTCGCTTTCTTTGCAGTCGCATCGCACTGCAGGCTCATGTTTAGCTTGTGATCAACCAGAACGCCCAGATCCCTTTCACATGTGCTGCTGTCAAGCCAAGTCCCTCCCGTTCTATATCCATCTTCCTTGGATCTAGGCTGTGGGGGTTCAGAGAGCTCTTCAAAGACCTTGAAAGTCCTTCCCCCTGAACCCTGTTTCCTGTGGGACTGGCCAGCCCCGTGGTATTCACCCTTCCTTCCCAAATAGTGATAGGCCCTTGTTGTTGCCCTCTTGTGGACCAAGGTAGCTACACACTTCCTGGCCTCTGGCCCCTGGCCTCATTATGTT